ACACGGCAACCTCTGTGACCTTGAGCGACCTTCGACCCGGCCTGCTCTACAACATCAGCATCTACGCAGTAGAGGACAGTCTGGAGAGTGAGCCTGTCTTCGTACAGGTCAACACAGCCGGAGACCCCTTACCGGGTAATGTAGTGTAGTGTGTGTGTGTGTGTGTGTGTGTGTGTGTGTGTGTGTGTGAATTGACTGGAGGCTAGGTCCTGACAGTCTCATTACCTACTTGGTCCTCTGTAGCTCAAGTTGATAGAGCGCGGCACTTGTGACGCCAGGGTAGTGGGTTCGATCCCCGGGACCACCCGTACGTAAAAAATGTATGCATGCATGACTGTAAGTCGCTTTGGATAAAAGCGTCTGCTAAATGGCATATTATTATATAGTATTTACTGTCGTTTGTGTTAGATCTTAGCCCCAAACTTGACAAGCAGTCCTACTAAAACGTTGTATTTAGTAGTTAGTTCAGAAGATATCAGCTCTGTGAAAACTACCCGTGCCCTCTCTTTAAATCCTTCTAGAACATATCGTTCAGGATTAGAATGCACAGTGGAAAGTTGGGATGATGCATTTCCTGTTCACAGCCCAAATGCTCCCATTTTTAATGGTCCAATGGAAAGAGTTGTGCAAGCCGTTCTAGTACTCCTGGGATTCCTGGCCAAATATGAAGCCAAAACAACAGACGCAGCTGGAAAGTTTAAAGCTACTTAGGTTGTATAGCCATGTAGGCTGATGATGTACGAGCGGGAATCATTTGCGAGACCCTTCTTTGGATCGACTGCAGTAAAGCCAGGCCATCAGTAGGTCTGTGGTTCAGCCTGCTACACACTGATTTGGGGAATGACAAATAGACCGAGAAAGAAAGGAGGAGGTGACTGCTTCATTTGGCTTGGTTCTTTTATCAGGGCTCGTTAAGAAATGATAGCGGCCATGACTGAAGCAAACGAGTGTTGTCTTGGGGGTTTGATGTGGTTGTCTTTGCCATTCAATCACAACAAACAAGGCCAGTCGTGAGTACTGCGAGCTAAGCTAGCTGTTCCCACAACTTTAGAGAACATTCCCCTTAAGAGTCTCATAGGAATGTTCCCGTGATGTGCAAGGAATGTTTCCAAGAGACCATTCCCTTAATGTCAAATAGAACTTACCCAGAATGCAAGGAATGTTTGCAAGAGACCATGCCCTTAATGTCAACTAGAACTTACCCAGAATGTGGTTAGTTACCATGTTCTCAGAACTTAAGATATTAAAACCCCCTAGAGATATCTAATTAAAATAATAAAAAAATCCCAATCTAAATCTGTCAGTTTAAGCTAGAGATATGTTTTTTTGCCTTGGATGCGTCTCAATCCACCGCATTCGAGACCCATGGGGCGGCGCACAATTGGCCCAGCGTCATCCAGGGTAGGGGAGGGAATGGCCGGCAGGGATGTAGCTCAGTTGGTAGAGCATGGCGTTTGCAACACCAGGGTTGTGGGTTCGATTCCTACGGGGGGTATAAAAAAATAATAATGTATGCACTCACTAACTGTAAGTCGCTCTGGATAAGAGTGTCTGCTAAATGACTAAAATGTAAATGTAATTCGCCGATGTCGCCCTTCCGCATCTGCCTTCCGCTAGAGCAGTGTTTGTTAGACCATGAGACATCCCGAAAATCGGTCTTCTCGCGAAAACATCTGTAGTGTCCGAACGGTTTGACAGACAAACGATTATGACCCCTCTATGGAAAGATGAGACTCTCACGAACACAATGGTGTTCTCCGTTTTTCTACGACACCCACAAGCGTCACGGGATTCGTTTTGAAGTCGGTACAGCCGATCTGCCAACTTCTGTCTGTAGCGTCCGAACAGATTGGGCTACACACTAATATGACCCCTCTGTGGAAAGGTGAGTCTCTCACGAACACGTACGTACATGTCGATTGTTTTGCTCTAGGACGCCCACAAGCCTCACAAGACTAGTCTGAAGGTAGCCAGGTATCAGTTTAAAAAATGAATGGAAGTATATACAGTGAGGGAAAAAAGTATTTGACCCCTGCTGATTTTGTACGTTTGCCCACTGACAAAGAAATGATCAGTCTATAATTTTAATGGTAGGTTTATTTGAACAGTGAGAGACAGAATAACAACAACAAAAATCCAGAAAAACGCATGTCAAAAATTTTATAAATTGACTTGCATTTTAATGAGGGAAATAAGTATTTGACCCCTCAGCAAAACATGACTTAGTACTTGGTGGCAAAACCCTTGTTGGCAATAACAGAGGTCAGACGTTTCTTGTAGTTGGCCACCAGGTTTGCACACATCTCAGGAGGGATTTTGTCCCACTCCTCTTTGCAGATCTTCTCCAAGTCATTAAGGTTTCGAGGCTGACGTTTGGCAACTCGAACCTTCAGCTCCCTCCACAGACTTTCTATTGGATTAAGGTCTGGAGACTGGCTAGGCCACTCCAGGACCTTAATGTGCTTCTTCTTGAGCCACTCCTTTGTTGCCTTGGCCGTGTGTTTTGGGTCATTGTCATGCTGGAATACCCATCCACGACCCATTTTCAATGCCCTGGCTGAGGGAAGGAGGTTCTCACCCAAGATTTGACAGTACATGGCCCCGTCCATCGTCCCTTTGATGCGGTGAAGTTGTCCTGTCCCCTTAGCAGAAAAACACCCCCATAGCATAATGTTTCCACCTCCATGTTTGACGGTGGGGATGGTGTTCTTGGGGTCATAGGCAGCATTCCTCCTCCTCCAAACACGGCGAGTTGAGTTGATGCCAAAGAGCTCGATTTTGGTCTCATCTGACCACAACAGTTTCACCCAGTTCTCCTCTGAATCATTCAGATGTTCATTGGCAAACTTCAGATGGGCATGTATATGTGCTTTCTTGAGCAGGGGGACCTTGCGGGCGCCGCAGGATTTCAGTCCTTCACGGCGTAGTGTGTTACCAATTGTTTTCTTGGTGACTATGGTCCCAGCTGCCTTGAGATCATTGACAAGATCCTCCCGTGTAGTTCTGGGCTGATTCCTCACCGTTCTCATGATCATGAGGTCTGATCTCATGTATAGCATGTTACTGTACAGCCCCTGAGCTCTGACATCATGTATAGCATGTTACTGTCCAGCCACTGAGCTCTGACGTCATGTATAGCATGTTACTGTCCAGCCGCTGAGCTCTGACGTCATGTATAGCATGTTACTGTCCAGCCACTCAGCTCTGACGTCATGTATGGCATGTTACTGTCCAGACCCAGAGCTCTGACGTCATGTATAGCGTGTTACTGTCCAGCCACTGAGCTCTGACGTCATGTATAGCATGTTACTGTACAGCCACTGAGCTCTGACATCATGTATAGCATGTTACTGTCCAGACCCAGAGCTCTGACGTCATGTATAGCATGTTACTGTACAGCCACTGAGCTCTGACGTCATGTATAGCATGTTACTGTACAGCCACTGTGTTCCAATTTGGGCGCTTATCAGTGCCAATATCTGCCATTTTCAACCCGTATACAGCTACGAGTTTAAAGGGTTCGAGTGTGTGTGATGCCTAAGTGATGGCTCCTTCTCTCTTCGATCCGTTAAAGGTTTTTCAAGGCTGGAGTCAAATAAACAGTCTGTCTCCTCTCCCTACCCTTTCATCTATCTGGTTGGATGGATGCTCTTTGTGTGTTTTTGGATTCCTGTCTGGCTTCAGAGTGTTGAAGACCATCAGTCATATGAGATGGGTACCACAGGTTCAGGAGTTCAAGACTGTCTGTGCCTGAAAACATTACTAGCTGTCAAGTCCTTGCTGTCTCCTCAACTCCTCTCAAAGCTCATTGGAGGAGGAGGTCTGAAGGAGGGACTTTGGATCCTCTCTCTCCAATGAGCACTGAGAGGACACAGCCCTAGTTTCATCGGGGTTACACGGAGATGACACTGTTAATAAACGCACGTCTGACCACTTCCCCGTTTCCTGTCCACAGAGGAAGTTCCGTCTCCTACAGACCTGCAGTTCTTCGAGGTGTCTGACGTGAAGATCACCATCACCTGGATGGGACCCCCAACTGACGTGTCCGGGTACAGAGTGACTGTGGCCCCCGTCGGCCCCGCCGGGACCCCTCGGAGAGAGCTACAGCTCCCCATCACACACAACGCCTACGCAGAGGTCACCCACCTGACCCCCGGTACCCCGTACCGCTTCAGCATCTACACCATCAAGGGAGGAGAGGAGAGCCAGCCACTGGTCGGAGAGCAGGCTACCAGTGAGAATAGGAAAACTTATCCCATCAACAATTGTCAATTTGTAATAGGTTTTTTCTATCACAAAAATAAATAAATAAATAAATCGCTGTCCAGTCAATGAACTTAGTACTGTAAATATTACTGCTAGTCTCAATCGAGACAAGGCATAGAAATCGCTGATCTTTGTAGAAGATCTGACCACAGCATCGTTGATCTCAAACACTTTTTTGTTCTCAGAACCTGATTCGCCTGCTGATGTCCATTTCACCAACGTAACTGAGGACAGTGCTCTGATCGCGTGGGTGGCCCCCCGGGCCCGCATCACCGGATACCGTCTGTTCCTGACCCTGGAGGGCTCCAACCCTAAACAGCTGCGCCTGCCAGCCCGCCTATCCCAGTACACCCTGCTCAACCTCCGGCCAGACACAGAGTACACCGCCGTCCTCCACGCTGAACAGGACAATACGCTCAGTGAGGGTACCTCCAGGACCTTCTCCACCAGTGAGTAGGATCCAGACTAGGGTCTTTATTCAACTCCTTTCTTAACCGATAATCTGACTGACTGCTGCTCAGTTTGGCTAAGTCAAACCTGAAATTGGCTGCTCCTCAATGACTCAAAAGTTGCAATTTTAAGCACATTCTAACTTAAACATCAGCGTAGTTTCTCGTTGAACTTTTATATGTCCCGGTCAAGGCCAGATTCTTTGTCAGTAGACTTCCTGGTCCGTTTGACTAGTCAGAAAAATGTTCACATACAGTAGGTTTGCTTTGAGAAGGGAGATGATTTTGGGAGTTCCTAGTTTGTTTAACTAGTCCTGACCTCTGAACCTGTGTGTTCTATCCAGCTCAGCTAATGGGGAACGCACCTCGCTTCAGTACTGATGTCACAGACACCTCGATCATCATCTCCTGGACACCCGTACCCCAAGTGGGATACAAGGTACGCTCACACACGTGTTATTGGTCAGACTATTTCAGACTAGAGTTGTGAATGTGCTCTGGCTCCTGTGATCCTGTGTGTATCCCTCTCACGTGTGTGTGTGTGTGTGTGTGTTTGTCTGTGTGTGTTTTTCTGTGTGTGTGTGTTTGTCTGTGTTTGTCTGTGTGTCTGTGTTTGTGTCTGTCTGTCTGTCTGTCTGTGTGTGTGTGTGTGTGTGTGTGTGTGTGTGTGTGTGTGTGTCTGTGTGTCTGTGTGTGTGTGTGTCTGTGTGTCTCTCTCGCTCTGTCTCCCCCTCTCCCCCTCTGTCTCCCCCTCTCCCCATGTAGCTGACAGTGAGGCCCAGTCAGGGAGGCGAGGCCCCCAGAGATGTAACCTCTAACTCAGGCAGCATCTACATCTCAGGCCTGACCCCCGGGGTTGAGTACACCTACAGCGTTCAGCCAGTCATCAACGGACACGAGCAGGGCAACCCAATCACACGTCGCGTAGTCACACGTGAGTGATCAGAGGATGTTCATTTCTACTCTATACAGTGCATTCGGAAAGTATTCAGACCCCTTGACTTTTTCAACATTTTGTTACGTTACAGCCTTATTCTAGAATTGATTAAATATAGTTTTTTCCTCATCAATCTACACACAATACCCCATAATGACAAAGCAAAAACAGGTTTTTAGACATTTTTGCACATTTATAAAAAAAATTCAACACTTAAATATCACATTTACATAAGTATTCAAACCCTTTACTCAGTACTTTGTTGAAACACCTTTGACAGCAATTACAGCCTCCAGTCTTCTTGGGTATGACGCTACAAGCTTGGCACACATGAATTTGGGGAGTTTCTCCCATTCTTCTCTGCAGATCCCCTCAAGCTCTGTCAGGTTGGATGGGGAGCTTCGAATGGAATGATTGGAACAGAGTCAAACATCTGGTTTCACTCCGTTCCATTTATTCCATTCCAGCCATTACAATAAGCCCATCATCCTATAGCTCCTCCCACCAGCGTCTTCTGGTTGCAATTTACCACACCATTCTATTGAGTAACCGTATATATTCCCCAGAAAGAGTTGCATCTGGAACAGGGATGACCAAAATCTAATATTTTCCTCCTATTTTTGTTTCTCTTTATCAGTTCTTTATCATAGTAGTGAGTAACCATTCTGACCAGGTTATAGTCGCGAGTAACCATTATGACCAGGTTATAGTGGTGAGTAACCGTTATGATCAGGTTATAGTGGTGAGTAACCATTATGACCAGGTTATAGTGGTGAGTAACCGTTATGACCAGGTTATAGTGGTGAGTAACCGTTATGACCAGGTTATAGTGGTGAGTAACTGTTATGACCAGGTTATAGTAGTGAGTAACCGTTATGACCAGGTTATAGTGGTGAGTAACCGTTATGACCAGGTTATAGTGGTGAGTAACCGTTATGACCAGGTTATAGTGGTGAGTAACCGTTATGACCAGGTTATAGTGGTGAGTAACCGTTATGACCAGGTTATAGTGGTGAGTAACCGTTATGACCAGGTTATAGTAGTGAGTAGCCGTTATGACCAGGTTATAGTGGTGAGTAACTGTTATGACCAGGTTATAGTGCTGAGTAGCCGTTATGACCAGGTTATAGTGGTGAGTAACCATTATGACCAGGTTATTGTAGTGAGTAACCATTATGACCAGGTTATAGTGGTGAGTAGCCGTTATGACCAGGTTATAGTGGTGAGTAACCATTATGACCAGGTTATTGTAGTGAGTAACCATTATGACCAGGTTATAGTGGTGAGTAGCCGTTATGACCAGGTTATAGTGGTGAGTAACCATTATGACCAGGTTATTGTAGTGAGTAACCATTATGACCAGGTTATAGTGGTGAGTAACCATTATGACCAGGTTATAGTGGTGAGTAACCATTATGACCAGGTTATAGTGGTGAGTAACCGTTATGACCAGGTTATAGTGGTGAGTAACCATTATGACCAGGTTATAGTCGTGAGTAACCATTATGACCAGGTTATAGTGGTGAGTAACCATTATGACCAGGTTATAGTGGTGAGTAACCGTTATGACCAGGTTATAGTGGTGAGTAACCGTTATGACCAGGTTATAGTGGTGAGTAACCATTATGACCAGGTTATAGTCGTGAGTAACCATTATGACCAGGTTATAGTGGTGAGTAACCGTTATGACCAGGTTATAGTGGTGAGTAACCATTATGACCAGGTTATAGTCGTGAGTAACCATTATGACCAGGTTATAGTGGTGAGTAACCGTTATGACCAGGTTATAGTGGTGAGTAACCATTATGACCAGGTTATAGTGGTGAGTAACCATTATGACCAGGTTATAGTCGTGAGTAACCATTATGACCAGGTTATAGTGGTGAGTAACCATTATGACCAGGTTATAGTCGTGAGTAACCATTCTGACCAGGTTATAGTGGTGAGTAACCGTTATGACCAGGTTATAGTGGTGAGTAACCATTCTGACCAGGTTATAGTGGTGAGTAACCGTTATGACCAGGTTATAGTGGTGAGTAACCGTTATGACCAGGTTATAGTGGTGAGTAACCGTTATGACCAGGTTATAGTGGTGAGTAACCGTTATGACCAGGTTATAATGGTGAGTAACCGTTATGACCAGGTTATAGTGGTGAGTAACCGTTATGACCAGGTTATAGTGGTGAGTAACCATTATGACCAGGTTATAGTGGTGAGTAACCGTTATGACCAGGTTATAGTGGTGAGTAACCATTATGACCAGGTTATAGTGGTGAGTAACCGTTATGACCAGGTTATAGTGGTGAGTAACCGTTATGACCAGGTTATAGTGGTGAGTAGCCGTTATGACCAGGTTATAGTGGTGAGTAACCGTTATGACCAGGTTATAGTGGTGAGTAACCGTTATGACCAGGTTATAGTGGTGAGTAACCGTTATGACCAGGTTATAGTGGTGAGTAACCGTTATGACCAGGTTATAGTAGTGAGTAACCGTTATGACCAGGTTATAGTGGTGAGTAACCGTTATGAGCAGGTTATAGTGGTGAGTAACCGTTATGACCAGGTTATAGTGGTGAGTAACCGTTATGACCAGGTTATAGTGGTGAGTAACCGTTATGACCAGGTTATAGTGGTGAGTAACCGTTATGACCAGGTTATAGTGGTGAGTAACCGTTATGACCAGGTTATAGTGGTGAGTAACCGTTATGACCAGGTTATAGTGGTGAGTAACCGTTATGACCAGGTTATAGTGGTGAGTAACCATTCTGACCAGGTTATAGTGGTGAGTAACCGTTATGACCAGGTTATAGTGGTGAGTAACCGTTATGACCAGGTTATAGTGGTGAGTAACCATTCTGACCAGGTTATAGTGGTGAGTAACCATTATGACCAGGTTATAGTCGTGAGTAACCATTATGACCAGGTTATAGTGGTGAGTAACCATTATGACCAGGTTATAGTGGTGAGTAACCGTTATGACCAGGTTATAGTGGTGAGTAACCGTTATGACCAGGTTATAGTGGTGAGTAACCGTTATGACCAGGTTATAGTGGTGAGGAACCGTACCAGTCAGAGACAGTTGCTTGGAAGAGAGATGTCAAGTCACAGAATCATCTCATCTTGTTCCTCTTGTCGTCCTCCAGCCCTGTCTCCTCCTACTGACCTAAACCTGGAGTCCCACCCTGACAGCGGAGAGCTGACTGTCCAGTGGAACGAAGCCAGCACCCCAGGTCAGAACAATGATACTCAGGACAAAGATTACAGAGACTATATGTCCAGACAGAGAACTCCAAATGTCCTATTTTACGACTTCTGTCCAGTTTACATCCACTGTCCATTCTCACGTGTTCTCCCATGCCGTCCAATCAGACATCACCGGCTACAGAGTGACGTGCACGCCAACCAATGGGCAGCGAGGAAACAGCCTGGAGGAGTTTGTGAAGGCGGGCGAGACCTCGTGCACTCTGGAGAACCTCAGCCCTGGCGTGGAGTACAACGTCAGCGTCTTCACCGTTAAAGACGACATGGAGAGTGTTCCTGTCTCCACCACCGTTACTCAAGGTAGGTGTGGGCGTGGCCTAATGTCAGGTGACCTTTTGACCCTATCTCCCCTGCCCTGTGACATCATGATGTGATGACGTGGACAGGAGTGTACGGCAGGGTTCCATCACATCTCTCCTACTCAGACCCCTTCGTTATATTCAGGCTACAATGTCCGTTACACAAAACATTGCTAGTATTGACTCGCACAGTGGGCTGAACTGGTTGAAATGACTTCATTACAGCCAAAATAACAACCAGCTGTTCGTGATTCTACAGTCTCTGCTTGTCCGGTAGTTTTGCCAGTATCCGTGCACGTACACCCTTAGAAAAAATAAGGGTCTGTCTAGAACCTAAAAGGGTCCCCCTACGGGCACTGCCGAATAACCCTTTTGGAAACCCTTTTTTCTAAGGGTGTAATGAAGCTACTGCCAGCGATTTTTCACTCATTGTTTTTATATATGTATTCTGCCTTTTAGATCAACGCCCACAGCTCAGCTAAATCATTCATTGATGTAAATTGAAGATTTGTACATGAATGTGAAGTTAGAATAACCTTAATGTGTGCAATACCATATCACCTGAGCTGGTAACCCATATCATTGATAGCCAATAGAGGCTTTAATAATGCCCTTCTCATGACATTGCTTGTCCTGTGTCTGTCTCTGTCTCGGTCTCTGTCTCTGTCTCTGTCCTGTGTCTGTCTCTGTCCTGTGTCTGTCTCTGTCCTGTGTCTGTCTCTGTCCTGTCTCTGTCTCGTCTCTGTCTCGTGTCTGTCTCGTGTCTGTCTGTCTCTCTGTGTCTGTCTCTCTCTCTGTCTCTGCTTCTGTCTCTGTCTCTGTCTCTGTCCTGTGTCTGTCTCTGTCTCTGTCCTGTGTCTGTCTCTGTCCTGTCTCGTCTCTGTCTCGTGTCTCCCTCCTTCCTTCCTCCCCTCCCTCTCTAACCCACTACTAGACGTGCCCCGGCTAACGGACCTCAACTTCGTCGACGTCACCGACACGACTATCGGCCTGAGGTGGAACCCGCTGAACTATACGGCGGTCACCGGCTACCGTATCACGGTGACGGCTGCCGGGGAGAGCGTGCCCATATTCGAGGACATGGTGGAGGCCACCACCGGGTATTACACCGTGCACGGACTGGAGCCCGGCATCGATTATGACATCTCAGTCATCACCGTCACAGAGAGCGGAGAGAGCGAACCCACCACGCTCACGCAGCAAACTGGTAATCATTATAACATGGGCCCGAGAGATGGTTGTGAAGTGTGGGCTGGTGAATGAATTTAACGGACGGACTCATTTTGCTACCCTTCCAGTCCGATTGGTTTGTGTGTTTTGTGTAATGATGTAAGGGGTAGTGTGAATGACGTTGCATCATTACACTGTGATTGCATGCAGTTGCATCTTTGTTTCTGGTTCTCTGTTTGTCTCATAAGTCTGTTCACATTTTACGTCTGGCTGACGAAAACATCTCAGCACTGAACCATGTAGGGCAGGGATCGGAACATAATTTACAAAGAATTTGTAGACTGCAAATTGACCGCAATAATCCCAAACCGATATAATATTCAAATCCAATTTTATTTGTCGTGTGTCGAATACAACAGGTGTAGTAGACCTTACCGTGAAATGCTGACTTACGAGCCCATAACCAACAATGCAGAGTGAAAAAATGTAAGTAAGAAAAATGTGCTAAATAAACTAAAGTAAAAATAGTAATACAATAACAAGGCTATTTACAAGCTTACCGGTACCGAGTCAATGTTCAGGGGTACGAGGTAGTAATGAGGCTATATACAAGGAGTACCAGTACTGAGTCAATGTTCAGGGGTACCAGGTAGTAATGAGGCTATTTACAAGCTTACCGGTACCGAGTCAATGTTCAGGGGTACCAGGTAGTAATGAGGCTATTTACAAGCTTACCGGTACCGAGTCAATGTTCAGGGGTACGAGGTAGTAATGAGGCTATATACAAGGAGTACCAGTACTGAGTCAATGTTCAGGGGTACCAGGTAGTAATGAGGCTATTTACAAGCTTACCGGTACCGAGTCAATGTTCAGGGGTACCAGGTAGTAATGAGGCTATTTACAAGCTTACCGGTACCGAGTCAATGTTCAGGGGTACCAGGTAGTAATGAGGCTATTTACAAGCTTACCGGTACCGAGTCAATGTTCAGGGGTACCAGGTAGTAATGAGGCTATTTACAAGCTTACCGGTACCGAGTCAATGTTCAGGGGTACGAGGTAGTAATGAGGCTATATACAAGGAGTACCAGTACTGAGTCAATGTTCAGGGGTACCAGGTAGTAATGAGGCTATTTACAAGCTTACCGGTACCGAGTCAATGTTCAGGGGTACCAGGTAGTAATGAGGCTATTTACAAGCTTACCGGTACCGAGTCAATGTTCAGGGGTACCAGGTAGTAATGAGGCTATTTACAAGCTTACCGGTACCGAGTCAATGTTCAGGGGTACCAGGTAGTAATGAGACTATATACAAGGAGTACCAGTACTGAGTCAATGTTCAGGGGTACCAGGTTAGTCGAGGTAATTGAGGTAATATGTACATGTAGGTAGGGGTAAAGTGACTATGCATAGATAATAAACAGAGTAGCAGCAGCGTATGTGAAGGCTGAAGGAATGTGTGTGTGTGTTGGAGTGTCAGTGTAGTGTGTGGGTAGTGTGTGGTTGGAGTCCAGTGAGTGATCATTGAGCCTGTGGAAGAGAGTCAGTGTAGTGTGTGGGTAGTGTGTGGTTGGAGTCCAGTGAGTGATCATCGAGCCTGTGGAAGAGAGTCAGTGTAGTGTGTGGTTGGAGTCCAGTGAGTGATCATCGAGCCTGTGGAAGAGAGTCAGTGTAGTGTGTGGGTAGTGTGTGGTTGGAGTCCAGTGAGTGATCATCGAGCCTGTGGAAGAGAGTCAGTGTAGTGTGTGGGTAGTGTGTGGTTGGAGTCCAGTGAGTGATCATCGAGCCTGTGGAAGAGAGTCAGTGTAGTGTGTGGGTAGTGTGTGGTTGGAGTCCAGTGAGTGATCATCGAGCCTGTGGAAGAGAGTCAGTGTAGTGTGTGGTTGGAGTCCAGTGAGTGATCATCGAGCCTGTGGAAGAGAGTCAGTGTAGTGTGTGGTTGGAGTCCAGTGTAGTGATCATCGAGCCTGTGGAAGAGAGTCAGTGTAGTGTGTGGGTAGTGTGTGGTTGGAGTCCAGTGAGTGATCATCGAGCCTGTGGAAGAGAGTCAGTGTAGTGTGTGGGTAGTGTGTGGTTGGAGTCCAGTGAGTGATCATCGAGCCTGTGGAAGAGAGTCAGTGTAGTGTGTGGGTAGTGTGTGGTTGGAGTCCAGTGAGTGATCATCGAGCCTGTGGAAGAGAGTCAGTGTAGTGTGTGGGTAGTGTGTGGTTGGAGTCCAGTGAGTGATCATCGAGCCTGTGGAAGAGAGTCAGTGTAGTTTGTGGGTAGTGTGTGGTTGGAGTCCAGTGAGTGATCATCAAGCCTGTGGAAGAGAGTCAGTGTAGTGTGTGGGTAGTGTGTGGTTGGAGTCCAGTGAGTGATCATCGAGCCTGTGGAAGATAGTCAGTGTAGTGTGTGGTTGGAGTCCAGTGAGTGATCATCGAGCCTGTGGAAGAGAGTCAGTGTAGTGTGTGGGTAGTGTGTGGTTGGAGTCCAGTGAGTGATCATCGAGCCTGTGGAAGAGAGTCAGTGTAGTGTGTGGTTGGAGTCCAGTGAGTGATCATCGAGCCTGTGGAAGAGAGTCAGTGTAGTAATAATAATCCAATAATGGGGTCAATGCTAATAGTCCGGGTGGCCATTTTATGAATTGTTCAGCAGTCTTATGGCTTGGGGGTAGAAGCTGTTCAGGTGCCTTTTGGTCCCAGACTTGGTGCTCCGGTACCGCTTGCCGTGCGGTAGCAGAGAGAACAGTCTATGACTTGGGTGGTTGGAGTCTGACAATTTTTTAGGGCCTTCCTCTGACACCGCCTGGTATAGAGGTCCTGGATGGCAAGAAGCTTGGCCCCAGTGATGTATAGGACGGTACTCACTACCCTTTGTAGCGCCTTGTGGTCGGATGCCGAGCAGTTGCCATACCAGGCGGTGATGCAACCAGTCAAGATGCTCTCGATGGTGCAGCTGTATAACTTTTTGAGGATCTGAGACTTGCATCAAAACCTTTTGTCAAATAATTTATGCTATTGCTAGCAATCAATCAAGAGGAAACTGACTGAACGACTCAAACTCCCCAGCTTATGCTCTCCAAATGGACGTTAGCTGTGAAGGCTGAGATGACCATGCATTGACTTTTGTTCGCTATACATGTCGGAGGGGGACGCTATTCATGAAGACATATTGTTCTGTCTCACGATTCCCGAGCATGAAACGGCAAAGGGGATGTTCAGTGTGCTGCGTGGCTATATGGTCTTTTGCACAGATGGGGCTCCATCTATGGCGGGACGGCGGGCAGGCCTCTGCACTCTAGTTATGAAAGTGTCTCCCTCGGCCATATGGACGCATTGTATGATACACCGAGAGCAACTGGCGGCAAAAGAGCTGAGCACAGAACTCTTGAGATATACTGCAGCAGGTAACTTCGATTGTAAACTACATCAAACCACATCCACTGCGCACACGCCTGTTCACAAAACTATGTGGAGATATGGGATCAGAGCATGACAAAGTCTTGGTGGTTATCGAGGGGAAGTGTTGGAAAGATTTTTCGCATTGAGAGAGGAACTGTTGTCATACAGTCGTGGTCAAAAGTTTTGAGAATGACACAAGTATTGGTCTTCACAAAGTTCGCTGCTTCAGTGTTATGAGATATTTTGGTCAGATGTTACACTGAAGTATAATTACAAGCATTCCATAAGTGTCAAAGGCTTTTATTGACAATTACATTAAGTTGATGCAAAGAGTCAATATTTGCAGTGTTGACCCTTCTTTTTCAAGACCTCTGCAATCCGCCCTGGCATGCTGTCAATTAACTTCTGGGCCAAATCCTGACTGATGGCAGCCCATTCTTGCATAATCAATGCTTGGAGTTTGTCAGAATTTGTGGGGTTTTGTTTGTCCATCTGCCTCTTGAGGATCGACCACAAGTTCTCAATGGGATTAAGGTCTGGGGAGTTTCCTGACCATGGACCCAAAATGTTGATGTTTTGTTCCCCGAGCCACTTAGTTATCACTTTTGCCTTATGGCAAGGTGCTCCATCATGCTGGAAAAGGCATTGGTCGTCACCAAACTGTTCTTGGATGGTTGGGAGGAGTTGCTCTCGGAGGATGTGTTGGTTCACAAAACTATGTGGAGATATGGGATCAGAACATGACAAAGTCTTGGTGGTTATCGAGGAGAAGTGTTGGAAAGGTTTTTGGAATTGAGAGAGGAACTGTTGTCATTCACAATGGACGTAAAAAAACAGACTTGGTTGACTTTCTGTGTAATGAAAAGAAAACGAGTCTCCTTGCCTATGTAACAGACATATTTGGGAAACTGAACTGAACGCAAGCATGCAAATATACAAAAACATTCTACAGATGACTGTCCGAATCAGTGGATTCAGAGGAAACAATTCTTATTGGAGAGAGAGTCTTTCAAAAGCAAACCATGCCCCTTTCCCTCAGCTGTGCATGTTTCTAACAGATAACAGCATCAGTAAGTGTCCCACATGAGTGATTACTGCTCACCTCCAACGCTTGGGAGAACACTTTGGGACCTACTTCCCAATCCGTTTGACTGTGATCCTTGCTCAGTTCACATGCCAGTATCTGAACTCGAACAGCTGATCGAGCTGTTATGTGACGGAATGCATTCACGAGTCACTACGGAGGAGTTTTTGTTTCCTGGCGCTAAGGGAATACCCTGCCGTCTCCCTCTGAGCGTTAATGGTGCGTTCAAGACAACTGGGAACTGGGAAAAAACGAGCCGCGACTGGTAAAAAATCTTTCGAATGGTCATCCAACTAGAGCTCCGACCTAAAAATCACTGACATCATGATTTGACCTTGTATTTTTCCAACTTCCCAGTTGTCTTGAATGCACTATAAAACTCATGGTACCCTTCGCCAGCTCATATCTGTGTGAAGCTGGATTCAGCGCTCTCGTCTGCATTAAAACCAAATATCGATCCAGGTTGGATGTGACGGCAGAGATGAGGTGCGCACTGTCGACCACGCCCCCTGACTTTGAGAATCTCCGACACGACATGCGTCAAGCCACACCCATCTCATTAGTGGTAGAGAGATAAGATACATTATGTCAGACTAAGATTTTCAGATATCGAAAAAGTTTTGGGAATCCCTGCTATAGGCTGTCTCATCGTTGTTGGGATCAGGCCTAACCACCGTCGTGTCTTCGACACACGTAATGATGGTTTTTGGAGTCGTGCGTGGCCAAGCAGTCATGGGTGAACAGGGAGTACAGGAAGACACTTGCCAGCTTGAAAATGTCAGTGAAGACACTTGCCAGATGGTCAGCGCAAGCTCTGAGCATGTATCCTGGTAATGTATCTGGCCCTGAGGCCTTGTGAATGTTAACCTGTAACCTGAGTCCCACTCCTTGAAAGTGGCAGCTCTAGCCTTCAGCTCAGTGCGGATGTTGCCTGTAACCCATGGCTTCTGGTTGGGATATGTACGTACGGTCACTGTGGGGATGAAGTCCTTGATGCACTTATTAATGAAGCAGGTGACTGATGTGGTAAACTCCTCAATGATATCAGATGAATCCCGGAACATATTCCAATCTGTGCTAGCGAAACAGTCCTGTAGCTTAGCATCCGCTTCATTGGACCACTTCCGTATTGAGGGTGTCACTGGTACTTCCTGTTTTGAGTTTTTGCTTGTAAGCAGGGATCAGGAGGATGGAGTTATGGTCAGATTTGCCAAATGGAGGGCGAGGGAGAGATTTGTACGCGTCTTTGTGTGTGGAGTAAAGGTGATCTAGAGTTTTTTTCCTTCTGGTTGCACATTTAACATGCTGGTTGAAATGAGGTAAAATGGATTTCAGTTTTCCTGAATTAAAGTCCCCGGCCACTAGGAGAGCCGCCTCTGGATGAGCATTTTCTTGTTTGCTTATGGCCTTATACAGTTCATTAAGTGCGGTCTTAGTGCCAGCATTAGTTTGTGGTGGTAAATAGACGGCTGTCAGTGGGTGCTGTAGGTGGGTGTGGTGCAGGAATCAGATGCAGGACGCAGAAAAATAAGTCCAATAGACTTTAGTGAACAGCACACTCAAATACACGAGTCAAACGCCCGGAGGCGAGAAAGTCCGCACACAGGCGAAAACCAAAAGGCGCACAAAACCGTGCGTAAATAACCTCCGAACACAGAGGAGGAAAATAAAAAATGCACAAGGCAAACAGTAGCGCACAAAACACGACAGCGAAACAATAACACACAAACACAGACACACACAACGAGAACTAAATAGAACACTAACGAGGACTAACTAGACACAGGTGTACAACATCAAGACCAAACCAAACGAACATGAAACATAGATCGGTGGCAGCTAGTACTCCGGAGACGACGACCGCCGAAGCCTGCCCGAACCAGGAGGAGGAGCAGCCTCGGCCGAAACCGTGACAACGGCTACGAAAAATATAGATGACAACTCCTTTGTTTAATAGTGTGGTCTACAGCTTATCATGAGATACTCTACCTCAGGCGAGCAAAACCTTGAGACTTCCTTTAATATTAGAGATCACGCACCAGATATTGTTGACAAAGAGAGCACACCACCCCCTCTGATCTTACTGGTCTGGGAAGAGCAGTATATCCTTCGCGTCCGACTCCATTAAAGAAAAAATCCTTGTCCAGTTCGAGGTGAGTAATCACTGTTCTGATGTCCAGAAGCTCTTTTCGGTCATAGGAAACGATGGCAGAGACATTATGTACAAAAAAAAAGTTAAAAACACACTAAATAGCACAAACGGCGGCCATTATAGATCATCGTGTTTCTAACATTAGACCAAAACATAGTAATTTCAAACCTTGCTTACATTTGTATACGATCACGTCTCTCTCTATTATGTGTTGGAATACTCGGGAACACATTTCCAAAATTATAATCACTTGGAGCTCATTTTCCTGGTGTTTTTTTTCAGTCTTATGCCCAACAATGAAAAAGTAAAATAAAATAAAATATATATTTTTTTTGCTCAGAAAACTTGGGGTGGCAAATAACGCTGGCTGTTAGTTGGGGAACCCTGATATAGGGGCTTCAATCTCCTCTAGCGGTGTGGGAGTGATGCTGTTCAGGACCATATGGTTTTAGTTTTCCCCGACTCACTGTTTCTACATCTGAATTCTTCAACACCAGCTGGAGCTCATTGTGACTCCCATTTGGTCTCCTTTCCCAAACACAGTTTATTCCCTCACTTTTTGATACGATGCCGTAAAACAGCAGAGATTCAACATTCAAACATATTTTCCTTTTGAACTATCTTTGATCTCGGATGGTCTTGACTAAACACCTCAATATAACTGCGTCCTGAATCTCCAACCTTCAAAGTGCGCGCTTGCACACTCCTTGTCATGGATTCAAAAGCATTGGATTAGTTAAGGCTATACATTCTGGGGAGAGTTCCTTTTTTCTTCTTCTGTGAAATCCATGACCAGGAGTGTGCAAGTGCGCACTTTGAGAGAAGGGTTGGGGCGCCAGGTAGCCTAGCGGTTAGAGTGTGGCGCCAGTAACTGAAAGGTTGCTAGTTTGAATCCCGGGAACTGACAAAGTGAAACATGAGCAAGGCACTTAACCTCCAGGGTCTGCGTTGATAGTGCAGACCCTGGCCGTGACCTCGCTCTCCACGGGTGTCTCTGGGAGATGGGAGATGCAAAAAAAATAAACATTTCCAATTCACACATGTACATGTGTGAAATAAGACAAATATATGCACCTACCAAAGGGGTGGAGAATTGGGATACAACTCCTCTCTCTTAATAATCACTTAATACCTGCTATCCAGCTGTTCCTCCCCCTACTAACCTGGGTTTCCCTGAGGTGGGTCCTGACAGTAATACCTAATATCTCTCCATCCCCCAGCCGTACCTGCACCTACTAACCTGGGTTTCCCTGAGGTGGGTCCTGACAGCATGCAGGTGACCTGGACAGCTCCTGTGGTTCCTAACCCCGCTGACATCAACAGCTTCGTGATTCGCTACCACCCCATCGACGACGAGGATGACATCACAGAAAGCAGCGTCGGAGGGAACGCTGACACTGTGGTTCTTAAGAGTAAGGCGCGCGCACACGCACACACACACACACACGCACACACGCGCACGCACACACACACACGCACACACACGCACACACACAGTCCTAATGACTGTTGTCACTCACTGACTGACGCTGTGTGTCCCTGTTCCTGTAGATCTGATTTCCAACACAGAGTACCTGGTCAGTGTGGGGTGTGTTTATGAAGAGAGGGAGAGCTCACCTCTGGTCGGCACCCACAAAACAAGTGAGTTTCACCTGAATGATTTGATTCATCAATGTGTTTTGGTCATCCTTTCTTTTGTCAATGTCTCCTAAATGATTCCTAAATTACTCCTAAATGACTCCTAAATGTCTCCTAAATGACTCCTAAATGATTCCTAAATGACTCCTGACCGATGTTTTTTCCCCTCAGCTCTGGACTCCCCCAGCGGTCTACGGTTCTCAGAGGTCCTGACCAACTCCTTCACGGTGCACTGGCTGGCCCCCAACGCCATCATCACTGGCTACCGGATTCGTTACCAGATGACCAGCGGCGGGCGGGCCAAGGACGAGAGGCTGCCGCCATCCAGGAACCACTTCACCCTGACCGGCCTGACCCCCGAGACGGAATACATCGTCAACATCTATGCTGTCAGCGGCCAGCAGGACAGCAAGCCGCTCACCGGCAAACAGAAAACCAGTACGACCTCATCCTTAACTTTTCACACGTTCTTTTAGTTTGCCTTGATTCAATGCTTTCTTCCTTTCATCCAGTCCCAATTTCCTACCCCTACGATAAGACCTGTTGACAGCCAGTCCCAATTTCCTACCCCTACGATAAGACCTGTTGACAGCCAGTCCCAATTTCCTACCCCTACGATAAGACCTGTTGACAGCCGGTCCCAGTTTCCTACCCCTACGATAAGACCTGTTGACAGCCGGTCCCAATTTCCTACCCCTACGATAAGACCTGTTGACAGCCAGTCCCAATTTCCTACCGCTACGATAAGACCTGTTGACAGCCAGTCCCAATTTCCTACCCCTACGATAAGACCTGTTGACAGCCAGTCCCAATTACCTACCGCTACGATAAGACCTGTTGACAGCCAGTCCCAATTTCCTACCCCTACGATAAGACCTGTTGACAGCCAGTCCCAATTTCCTACACCTACGATAAGACCTGTTGACAGCCAGTCCCAATTTCCTACCCCTACGATAAGACCTGTTGACAGCCAGTCCCAATTTCCTACCCCTACGATAAGACCTTTTGACAGCCAGTCCCAATTTCCTACCCCTACGATAAGACCTGTTGACAGCCAGTCCCAATTACCTACCGCTACGATAAGACCTGTTGACAGCCAGTCCCAATTTCCTACCCCTACGATAAGACCTGTTGACAGCCAGTCCCAATTTCCTACCCCTACGATAAGACCTGTTGACAGCCAGTCCCAATTTCCTACCCCAACGATAAGACCTGTTGACAGCCGGTCCCAGTTTCCTACCCCTACGATAAGACCTGTTGACAGCCGGTCCCAATTTCCTGCCCCTACGATAAGACCTGTTGACAGCCAGTCCCAATATCCTACCCCTACGATAAGACCTGTTGACAGCCAGTCCCAATTTCCTACCGCTACGATAAGACCTGTTGACAGCCAGTCCCAATATCCTACCCCTACGATAAGACCTGTTGACAGCCAGTCCCAATATCCTACCGCTACGATAAGACCTGTTGACAGCCAGTCCCAATATCCTACCCCTATGATAAGACCTGTTGACAGCCAGTCCCAATATCCTACCCCTACGATAAGACCTGTTGACAGCCAGTCCCAATTTCCTACCCCTACGATAAGACCTGTTGACAGCCAGTCCCAATTACCTACCCCTACGATAAGACCTGTTGACAGCCAGTCCCAATATCCTACCCCTACGATAAGACCTGTTGACAGCCAGTCCCAATTTCCTACCCCTACGATAAGACCTGTTGACAGCCAGTCCCAATTACCTACCCCTACGATAAGACACGTTGACAGCCAGTCCCAATTTCCTACCCCTACGATAAGATCCATTGACTTTTCACACATCACCTGAATCCCAAATCACCCAATAGCCCCTACTCCCTAGCCCCTACTCCTTTGCCCCGACCCCATATCCCCTACTCCCTAGCCCCTATCCCCAGCCCCTACTTCCTAGCCCCTACTTCCTAGCCCCTACTCCCTAGCCCCTACCCCCAGCCCCTACTTCCTAGCCCCTACTTCCTAGCCCCTACTCCCTAGCCCGTACTCCCTAGCCCTTACTCCCTAGCCCCTACTCCCTACTCCCAAGGCACATGTAGATCTTGGATAGGCGTTAACCAATATGGTGGTAGCTCCAACCTGCCCTCTGATAGGCCAGGGGTAATTGTTGCCATTGTTGCTAACACCCATCCAATCCTCTCAGCTCTCCACAAGAACCCAGTTTTCCTTTTAATTTACTTCCTTTGAATGTTTCTGTCAGTATGAGAGATTCATTCTCACCGTCTGTCTCTGCTTCCTTCTCCTTGTGTCCCCTAGTCTCCGATGCTCCTACTGACCTGGAGGTAGTGTCCTCCTCCCCCACCAGCATCACAATCCGCTGGGACGCCCCCCTCTGTACCGTGAGGGTACTACAGGCTTCACCCATGGAGGAGGTTCCGGTCTTTCAGGTACGTAATAACCTAACCTTACTGACTTAGCCGTAACTAGCCGGATACTGTGGGTACTCCGGTTCACCAGGAGAGTCAGGTCTGTCAGGTACGTTAACTAACCTAACCTTTACTGACTTAGCCTTAACTAGCCTGATACTGTGAGGTACTACAGGGTTCACCCATGGAGAGTCAGGTAGCTCAACTAACCTTTCTCTGCCATTCGATCACCATGGTGATCGTCTTCAATGTCACAAATCTGGGAAATCAAAGAGTAGCTCACCAATTATTTTGCTTTTTCACAATATGAATGTTGTCTATCTGTAGCATATTAGCATTGTTTGCTGTTACCCCTCCCAAACCCCCAGGTGGCCACAGCACCCCTAAAGAGTTCACTGTCCCTGGTTCCCAGTCTACCGCCACCATCCAGAACCTGAGGCCTGGTACTGACTACACCATCACAGTCTACGCTGTGACCGGCAGAGGGGACAGCCCAGCCTCCAGCACCCCCATCTACGTCACCCACAAGACAGGTACCCCTTCCCCCCCTCCTAACTTCGATCTAGGGCAGGACTCTCCATCCCCTCTTCCTGGAGAGCTACCGTCCTGTAGGTTTTCACTCCAACCCTAATCTAGCACACCTGATTCTAATAATTAGCTGGTTGACAAGTTGAATCAGGTTAGTTACAACTGGGGTTGGAGCGAAAACCTACAGGAGGGTTGGAGAGCCCTGTTCTAGGGAGGTTTGTCCTTGCCACTGAGCTGCTCTCTTGCTCTTTGCGGTCTAGGCCTGGTTACTGTAAGCATAAAACGTTTTATGACAACTGTTGCTGTTAAAAGAGATTGATTTGATCAAGATGAATAAGATCATGTTTTTTAAAGTCCTTTTAATTTGACCCCTGTCCTGTCTTGATAATGTACGTGGTCTGAAAGTATACTTCTGCTGTGCCTTCAGCAGGTTGTGACTTTGACCCTCTCCTCTGTCTGTAGATGTTGAGTCTCCTCTCCTCTGTCTGTAGATATTGAGTCTCCTCTCCTCTGTCTGTAGATATTGACTCTCCTCTCCTCTGTCTGTAGATATTGACTCTCCTCTCCTCTGTCTGTAGATATTGAGTCTCCTCTCCTCTGTCTGTAGATATTGAGTCTCCTCTCCTCTGTCTGTAGATATTGAGTCTCCTCTCCTCTGTCTGTAGATATTGACTCTCCTTTGGAGATGAAGGTGACTGACGTTAAGGACAGCACCATCACTGTGAGGTGGTCCCCGGCCCAGGGGCCTGTCCAGGGGTACAGGATCACTGGGGTCCCCAGGAACGGACAGGGGCCATCCTTCTCTGAGACCGTTGCTCCAGGTAAGGCCATGTTGCTCCAGGTAAGGCCATGTTGCTTCAGGTAAGGCCATGTTGCTCCAGGTAAGACCCTGTTGCTACAGGTTGAGTCGCATAGGGGATTCATTAAAGTGGTCCCAGATTTGTTTGTGCGTGACATGACTGTAGGAGTTGGCAAGATGGCACAAAGAGATCTGGCACGAGGCTAGGTATTGATATGTTTTTTTAGCACTTGTGCACGGAAGTATACATCTAGAATATGAAATGTTTTGGATGTCAAATATATAGTTTTCATATAGTGTTGGTGTTGAGTTCTGTCTCATCCTGTTGTTAATGACTGTATCTGTCCCTGGTGTCTTAGATCAGACGGAGATGACGTTCTCTGGCCTGCAGCCCACAGTAGAGTACATCCTCAGTGTGTACGCCCTGGGACAGGACGGAGAGAGCCTTCCCCTGGTGGAGACTGCTGTCACTGGTGAGTGTTCCGGAGTCGTTGCTCTATGTATGACCCTGTGCTGCTCTCCTTTCCTGTTGGGCGTTTGCGTGTGTCGGGTTGCACAACTGCAGAGAGCTCACCAGACCCTTGACCTTATTTGACCTCTCCCTCCCTCCCCTGCAGCGGTGGGTCGCCCCACAGACCTGACCTTCTCTAACGTTGACTCCACCTCCATGACCATCTCCTGGGACTCGCCCGACGGCCGGGTGACGTCATACCGCGTCCTGTACGCCGGCCCCGAGGAGGGCGAGAGGGAGCTGCGACCCGCACCCCGCGGAGACGACGAATCGGCAACGATCCACGGCCTGCGACCCGGAAGTGAATACACTGTGAAGGTCATCGCCATGCACGACCGCACACCTAGTCCTCCACTGGTGGGCGTTCAGGCCACAGGTAAGCCATGAACCCCTCCGCCAGGACAAATACAAACCCATTGTGTTTGAGGGTAAACACAATGGTCAGTTTGAGTAAAGTGAGGCATTGAATCAATAATCTTGAACATTCAATGAGTAGTTAATGATACTTTTGATAGTTTGTGATGGAAGGTGATTTTTATATCAGCGATTCTAAACAGTGCGACTGTAATGTAGCTGATGTTGATTTTAAACATGCACACTCTTTTGAGTATCTTGGAAATCAGCCTATCCAACACTCTTTCTCTCTCTCTCTCTGTCTCTCTGTCTCTCTCTCTCTCTCTCTCTCTCTCTCGGTCTCTCTCTCTCTCTCTCTCTCTCTCTCTCTCTTCTCTCTCTCTCGGTTCTCTCTCTCTCTGTCTCTCTCTCTCTGTCTCTCTCTCTGTCTCTCTCTCTCTCTCTCTCTCTCTCTCTCTCTATCTCTCTCTCTGTCTCTGTCTCTCTCTCTCTCTCTCTCTGTCTCTCTCTATCTCTCTCTCTCTCTCTCTCTCTGTCTCTCTCTCTCTCTCTCTCTCTGTCTCTCTCTCTGTCTCTCTCTCTCTCTTTGCCTTTCCTTTCTGTCTCACCCTCTAGCCATCCCTGCCCCCACCAACCTTGAATTCTCCCAGATCACCTCCTCCTCCTTCACCATCAACTGGCGCACCACATCCAACACCCATCTGACCGGTTACCGGGTGGTCATCAACCCCAAGAACAAGAGCGGTCCCACCAAGGAGATGAACGTTGCCCCTGACACAACACAGGTCCACGTGCCGGGACTCATGGTAATTATAAAGGCTCATACATGCTTATAACCTGTTATAAAGCATTATAGCTGCAGACTTTCAATCTGCAATATGTAACTTTTTGGGCGACCTGACCAAATTCACATAGAAATATGCGTTATAGATCTGTCATTCGCATTGAACACAAGTCTAAGAAGAGGTAGATCTGTTCTATGTGCGCTATTTCTATGCTTCCTGTTCTTAAGTTACATTTTTGTGTCTTTTAACTTTCAGTTTTTTGTACAGCAGCTTCAAACAGCTGAAAATACAATATTTTTGGTTATTGAAAATATATTTCACAGCGGTTTAGATGGTACAATGATTCTCTACACCCCAGGGGTATTCAACTCTTACCGAATGAGGTCCAGAGACTGCTGGGTTTCTGCTCTACCTGGTTTCCCTCATTAGAGGGGAACGCAGTGGCACTGGGCTTCGAGGTCCAGAGTTGAGTTGACGACATTATGCATTGCATTGTCAACTTTTAGAATTTTAGCAACCAGGAAATGGCGGAGCGATTTCTGCATACTGCACGTATAACCATCTCATTTGAGACATCTCTAACCCACATCTCAACTGAGTCAAAGTCATTATGACATGATTATATGACATTATAAAAGGCACGTTTTACATCGTAATGCATTATAGTAAAGTGTTACCAAAAATCTACATGTGATTTATCCATAACTTGAGGGATGGATCATTTTAAAATGCTTGAGTTTTTTTTTTTTTTTTTACATTTCCTGTTCGCTAAAAGGAAAAGTATTTTCGCCTGGAATCCTTTCTACAGGTAGTCGACAGCTGTTATTTCATAGTTTGGGATTTCCAGGCATTTGTTTGATGACCCTCCTCCAATCCAATGAGAGCTGTGGCGCTGGTCCCAAATTAAACCCTATTCACTACATAGTGCACTAATTTTGACCAGGACCGATATGGCTCTGGTGAAATGTAGTGCGCTACAGTGAGGGGAAAAAATATATTTGATCCCCTGCTGATTTTGTACGTTTGCCCACTGACAAGGAAATGATCAGTGTATAATTTTAATGGTAGGTTTATTTGAACAGTGAGAGACAGAATAACAACAAAAAAATCCAGAAAAACGCATGTCAAAAATGTTATAAATTGATTTGCATTCTAATGAGGGAAATAAGTATTTGACCCCCTCTCAATCAGAAAGATTTCTGGCTCCCAGGTGTCTTTTATACAGGTAACGAGCTGAGATTAGGAGCACACTCTTAAAGGGAGTGCTCCTAATCTCAGTTTGTTACCTGTATAAAAGACACCTGTCTACAGAAGCAATCAATCAATCAGATTCCAAACTCTCCACCATGGCCAAGACCAAAGAGCTCTCCAAGGATGTCAGGGACAAGATTGTAGACCTACACAAGGCTGGAATGGGCTACAAGACCATCGCCAAGCAGCTTGGTGAGAAGGTGACAATAGTTGGTGCGATTATTCGCAAATGGAAGAAACACAAAAGTCCTGTCAATCTCCCTTGGCCTGGGGCTCCATGCAAGATCTCACCTCGTGGAGTTGCAATGATGATGAGAACGGTGAGGAATCAGCCCAGAACTACACGGGAGGATCTTGTCAATGATCTCAAGGCAGCTGGGACCATAGTCACCAAGAAAACAATTGGTAACACACTACGCCGTGAAGGACTGAAATCCTGCAGCACCCGCAAGGTCCCCCTGCTCAAGAAAGCACATATACAGGCCCGTCTGAAGTTTGCCAATGAACATCTGAATGATTGGTCAGATGAGACCAATATCGAGCTCTTTGGCATCAACTCAACTCGCCGTGTTTGGAGGAGGAGGAATGCTGCCTATGACCCCAAGAACACCATCCCCACCGTCAAACATGGAGGTGGAAACATTATGCTTTGAGGGTGTTTTTCTGCTAAGGGGACAGGACAACTAAACCGCATCAAAGGGACGATGGACGGGGCCATGTACCGTCAAATCTTGGGTGAGAACCTCCTTCCCTCAGCCAGGCCATTGAAAATGGGTCGTGGATGGGTATTCCAGCATGACAATGACCCAAAACACACGGCCAAGGCAACAAAGGAGTGGCTCAAGAAGAAGCACATTAAGGTCCTGGAGTGGCCTAGCCAGTCTCCAGACCTTAAACCCATAGAAAATCTGTAGCTGAAGGTTTGAGTTGCCAAACGTCAGCCTCGAAACCTTAATGACTTGGAGAAGATCTGCAAAGAGGAGTTGGACAAAATCCCTCCTGAGATGTGTGCAAACCTGGTGGCCAACTACAGGAAACGTCTGACCTCTGTTATTGCCAACAAGGGTTTTGCCACCAAGTACTAAGTCATGTTTTGCAGAGGGGTCAAATACTTATTTCCCTCATTTAAAATGCAAATCAATTTATAACATTTTTGATGTTTTTTTCAGGATTTTTGTTGTTGTTATTCTGTCTCTCACTGTTCAAATAAACCTACCATTAAAATTATAGACTGATCATTTCTTTGTCAGTGGGCAAACTTACAAAATCAGCAGGGGATCAAATACTTTTTTCCCTCACTGTATGTAGGGCATAGGGTGCCATTTGGGGCGTAACCTTGTGGTTTTGAAACCCGTCGTCTGCTAGACTAGCGAAGCCACAGCCTTGTCATTTCCAGTTGACGAACAAAGAGTGCAACCAGCCTTAGTTACAGTCGTCCGTCTCTGTTCAACACATTGAGTCATCGAAACTGAAACAGTGCATAAACTGGGAATTTTATATTTTTGACTGATATTATGATTGTCTGTTTCATATCTGTAAAGTAGATAAAATACAGTCAGTTCCACTTTAAAGGACTAGAGGGTGTTTGGGAGATGATGGTGGTCCCAATGAATCGGTTTCTCCTGACTGTACTGGCTGTCTCTGTCTGTGAAGGGTGCTACTACGCATGAGTCTCACTCAGTTTCACCTCTACTGTCTGTTTCTGTCTCTGTCTGTGAAGGGTGCTACTACGCATGAGTCTCACTCAGTTTCACCTCTACTGTCTGTTTCTGTGTCTGTCTGTGTAGGTTGCGACTACGTATGAGGTGCACGTTTATGCCCTGAAGAACTCTCTGACGAGCCGCCCAGTTCAAGGAGAGGTCACAACACTGGACAGTGAGTTTCTCTGCCTCCTTCCCCTCCCTCTCTCTTTCCATTCCCTCTCTCTCCTTCCTCTCTCGGTCTCTCTCTCTCTCTCTGTCTCTCTCTCTGTGTCTCTGTCTTTCTGTCTCTCTGTCTTTCTGTCTCTCTGTCTCTGTCTGTCTCTCTCTCTCTCTGTCTCTCTCTCTCGCTCTTTCTCTGTCTCTCTCTCTCTCTGTCTCTGTCTCTCTGTGTCTCTCTCTCTCTCGCTCTTTCTCTCTCTCTCTGTCTCTGTCTCTCTGTGTCTCTCTGTCTCTCCGTGATCTCTGTCTCTCTTTCTCTCTTTCTCTCTCTCTCTCTCTCTCTCTCTCTCTCTCTCTCTCTCTATATCTCTCTCTCTCTCGTTCTCTGTCTCCTCTCTCTCTCTCGTCTCTCTCTCTCTCTCTCTCCTCTTCTCTCTATGTCTCTCTGTCTCTCTGTCTCGTCTTGTCTCTCTCTCTCTCTATCTCTCTATCTCTCTCTCTCTCTCTCTCTCTCTCTCTCTCTCTCTCTCTCTCTCTCTCTCTCTCTCTCTCTCTCTCCTTCCTCTCCTTCCCACAGCTAGCTATTCAGCAGTGATGACAGGAGAACATATTGCTTTCATCCTCTTTATTCTGTTGCCTTAGCAACTGATTATCTTCATGGGGTCCACAAAACAGAAGTTACAAATATAACAGACATTACAAGCCTTTTAACAATTTTAAGACAAATAAAATTTAAAAAACCTGCTAGAAATCTCCTCTCCTCTCTCTGTGTTCCAGACATCAGTCCCCCACGTCGCGTGCGTATCTCTGACGTAAAGGACTCCTCCATCACCCTGACATGGCGATCCAAGACTGAGACCATCTCTGGCTTCCTGGTTGAGGCCACGCCCACCACTGGAGGCCGCACCCCCATCCAGAGGACCATCACCCCTGATTCCCGCGCCTACACTATCCAAGGTACCCCCCCCACATACCTCCTACTCCCCTTGAATCAGGTGACCCTGCTGCAGTCAACATTCACTTCAGGGTCATGTTCATTAGGACATGCAACATTTTTAAAATGTCTTGCAACAGAAAACGAAAATGAGCATTTCTTATTGGACCAAGTCCAGGCAGTCTCTACCTGTTTCAGTCTTTTGGTGCCTAATGAACACCACCCAGACTCAATCCTGGATCATATTAATCTGGAACATTTTCCACTTGTCTTCCACAGGTCTTCAGCCTGGCACTACCTACAAGATCAACATATACACTCTGAACGGCAACGGCCGCAGTGCTCCCTTCACCCTCACTGCCACAACAGGTATACGACCCGCACCGCGGATAAGACCAGCGGCGCGCGAGACGGGGGACAAGCGCGCGAGAGACCAGACCTCGCGCGCGAGACGACCAGCCGCGCGCGAGACGACCAGCCGCGCGCGAGACGACCAGCCGCGCGCGAGACGACCAGCCGCGCGAGACGACCAGCCGCGCGAGACGACCAGCCGCGCGCGAGACGACCAGCCGCGCGCGAGAACGACCAGCCGCGCGCGAGACGACCAGCCGCGCGAGACGACCAGCCGCGCGAGGACGACCAGCCGCGCGAGACGACCAGCCGCGCGAGACGACCAGCCGCGCGCGAGACGACCAGCCGCGCGCGAGACGACCAGCCGCGCGCGAGACGACCAGCCCGCGCGAGACGACCAGCCGCGCGCGAGACGACCAGCCGCGCGCGAGGACGGACCAGCCGCGCGAGACGACCAGCCGCGCGGAACGACCAGCCGCGCGCGAGACGACCAGGCGCGCGCGAGAGACCAGCCGCGCGCGAGACGACAGCCGCCGCGGCGAGACGACCAGCCGCGCGAGACGACCAGCCGCGCGCGAGACGACCAGCCCCGCGCGAGACGACCAGCCGCGCGCGAGACGACCAGCCGCGCGCGAGACGACCAGCCGCGCGCGAGACGACCAGCCGCGCGCGAGACGACCAGCCGCGCGCGAGACGACCAGCCGCGCGAGACGACCAGCGCCGGCGAGACGACCAGCCGCGCGCGAGACGACCAGCCGCGCGCGAGACGACCAGCCGCGCGGAGACCACCAGCGCGCGCGAGACGGACCAGCCGCGCGCGAGGACGACCAGCCGCGCGCAGACGAACCAGCCGCGCGCGAGACGACCAGCCGGCGCGAGACGACCAGCCGCGCGCCCGCGCGCGAGAAGACAGCGCGCGGGAGAGACCAGCCTCGCGAGACGACCAGCCGCGCGAGAGACGACCACCCGCGCGCGAGACGACCAGCAGCGCGCGAGGACGACCAGCCAGCGCGATACGACCAGCCGCGTCGAGAGAGACCAGCAGCGCGCGAGAGACAGCCGCGCGAGACGACCAGCCGCGAGAGACGACCAGCCGCGCGCGAGACGACCAGGCGCGCGAGACGACCAGCCGCGCGAGACGACCAGCCGCTCGCCCGCTCGCTATACTACCAGCCTCTCTCTATACTACCATCCTCTCTATACTACCATCCTCTCTATATACTACCATCCTCTCTCTATACTACCATCCTCTCTATACTACCATCCTCTCTCTATACTACCATCCTCTCTCTATACTAAGGACCAGATGTCGTTGTATATTTCTTTATATTAATCTTACTAAGTATACTGATCAAAAATATAAATGCAACATGCAACAATTTCAAAGATTTACAATTCATATGAGGAAATCAGTCAATTGAAATAATACATGAATTAGGCCCTAATCTATGGATTTCACGACTGGGAATACAGATGTGCATCTGTTGGTCACAGATACCTTTAAAACAATGTCACGGTATTTCTGTGCATTCAAATTGCCATCGATAAAATGCAATTGTGTTCGTTGTCCGTAGCTTATGCCTGCCCATACCATAACCCCACCGCCACCATGAGGGACTCTGTTCACAACGTTGACATCAGCAAACCGCTCACCCACATGACACCATACATGTGATCTGCGGTTGTGAGGCCTGTTGGACGTACTGCCAAATGTTCTAAAATGACTTTGGAGGCGGCTTTTGGTAGAGAAATGAACATTCAATTGTCTGGCTACAGCTTTTTTGGACATTCCTGCAGTCAGAATGGCTCCCTCAAAACTTGAGACATCTGTGGCATTGTGTTGTGTGACAAAACTGCACATTTTAGAGTGGCCTTTTATGTTCCCCAGCACAAGGTGCACCTGTGTAATGATCATGCTGTTTAATCAGCTTCTTGATATGCCACACCTGTCAGGTGGATGGATTATCTTGGCAATGGAGAAATGCTCACTAACAGGGATGTAAACAAATGTGTACCATAATATTTAGAGAAATAATTTAATCTCATGAAACATGGGACCAACACTTTACATGTTGCGTTTATATATTCTTTCAGTGTAGTTGCTTAAAGCTGTTAAGTGTGTCAGTTCTTTAATTACTTTATTAGGGTTATTTGACATTACATAAATCAACATTTCTGTAAATGTGCCAGATTTAGCTGGTTCAGCCAGCGTATTTTCATCTGTAAATTCTGTTCATAGAACTGACTGTCTCCCTGTCTGTTTATCTCTTGCAGCTAAGCCTGTGGTGTCTCCCCCCACCAACATCCGGTTCACCTCCCTGACCCCCAGCAGCATCTCCTTCACCTGGGAGGGTTCCCGTAGTGCCGGGGTCACCGGGTATTACGTCACCTACGAGGAGGCAGGGGGCATCCCCCGGGAACTCACCCCACGACCCACCGCTTACCGGAGCCAAGCCATCATCACTGGTAGGGCTCTCCTCCTCTTTTAGATCCCAAAAGCGAAACTTAAGAACAGGAAGCATAGAAATAGCGCACATAGAACCGATCTACCGCTTCTTAGACTTGCTTTCAATGAGAATTAAAGATCTATAACTCACATTTCTATGTGAATTTGGTCGGGTCGCCAACAAAGATACATACTGGACACATTTTAGGGCTTTTCACACTTCTGAACCGAGTCGAATCAAGCTGAGCTGGCCTGGTTACGCATCCATACACCTCAGTGGCTGTAAGCGTGCTTAAATAGGAAATACCATACCAGTTTGGCCTAGCATAATAGTGTGAAAAGAGTTTCGATCGAGGTGGGTTGTTTGTTTATGAACAAAACTGATGCAACCGTGGAGCAAAACGGGCGGGGCTTAGAATCAATGGATTCAGGGCTGTACGGTGCGGCCATTTTACTTGCATATGCGCCTAAATATTTTCCTGTGCGACCTGGAATTTTTATTTTATTTGTCACGTGCTTCGTAGACAACAGGTGTAGACTAACAGTGAAATGCTTACTTACAATAATGAGTGAAAAATAACATGGCTACAGTGTATTGGGAAAGTATTCAGATCCCTTTCACTTTTTCCACATTTTGTTACATTACAGCCTTATTCTAAAATTGATTTAAATTGTTTTTTCCCCCCTCATCAATCTACACACAATACCCCATAATGACAAAGCAAAAACAGGTTTTAGAAATTTTTGCAAATGTATAAAGAAAACCCGTAAATATCACATTTACATAAGTATTCAGTCCCTTTACTCAGTACTTTGTTGAAGCACCTTTTGGCAGCAATTAAGCCTTGAGTCTTCTTGGGTATGACGCTACAAGCTTGGCACATCTGTATTTGGGGAGTTTCTCCCATTCTTCTCTGCAGATCCTCTCAAGCTCTGTCAGGTTGGATGGGGAGCGTCGCTGCACAGCTATTTTCATGTCTCTCCAGAGATTTTCGATCGGATTCAAGTCAGGGCTCTGTCTGGGCCACTCAAGGACATTCAGAGACGTGTCCCGAAGCCACTCCTGCGTTGTCTTGGCTGTGTGCTTAGGGTCGTTGTCCTGTTGGAAGGTGAACCTTCGCCCCAGTCAGAGGTCCTGAGCGCTCTGGAGCACTTCTTTTTTGTTTTATTTTCCTGTGTAATACTGAATGTATTATTTATTATTAAACTATGTATGTATTTTATTGTTCATTTTGCTTATTTTGAGTGGTACAGGTTTTATAAACATATCATTTGAAATGAATAATGTACCTGTAACCTGATTCCCCACATGGCAGCTTCTTGTCATTGTTGTAGCTATCCGACCGTTTAGAATCACAACACATCTGCCCCATCGACGCGCGCCCATAGTTTTCGTGACCTTGTCAGCTAACCCATCTATTGTAGCCTGTTTCTTTTACTAAGTCCCTCCCCCACACTCTGTTTATTGTTTTTAGGTCTGAAACCAGGAACTGAATACATCATCAAGATCGTCACCCTGCAGAATGCTCTGAGGAGCACCCCTCTAGTGGGCAGGGCTAGAACTCGTAAGTACAGCAATCAACCTTCCCATCTGAAAATGATGGAACCTTTATTTAACCAGGGAAAGAGCCTTGAGGTCAGACACCTCTTTATTTAACCAGGGAAAGAGCCTTGAGGTCAGACACCTCTTTATTTAACCAGGGAAAGAGCCTTGAGGTCAGACACCTCTTTATTTAACCAGGGAAAGAGCCTTGAGGTCAGACACCTCTTTTATTTAACCAGGGAAAGAGCCTTGAGGTCAGACACCTCTTTATTTAACCAGGGAAAGAGCCTTGAGGTCAGACACCTCTTTATTTAACCAGGGAAAGAGCCTTGAGGTCAGACACCTCTTTATTTAACCAGGGAAAGAGCCTTGAGGTCAGACACCTCTTTATTTAACCAGGGAAAGAGCCTTGAGGTCAGACACCTCTTTATTTAACCAGGGAAAGAGCCTTGAGGTCAGACACCTCTTTATTTAACCAGGGAAAGAGCCTTGAGGTCAGACACCTCTTTATTTAACCAGGGAAAGAGCCTTGAGGTCAGATACCTCTTTATTTAACCAGGGAAAGAGCCTTGAGGTCAGACACCTCTTTATTTAACCAGGGAAAGAGCTTGAGGTCAGACACCTCTTTATTTAACCAGGGAAGAGCCTTGAGGTCAGCAGATACCCTCTTTATTTAACCAGGGAAAGAAGCCTTGAGGCAGAACCTCTTTATTTAACCAGGGAAAGAGCCTTGAGGTCAGACACCTCTTTATTTAACCAGGGAAAGAGCCTTGAGGTCAGACACCTCTTTATTTAACCAGGGAAAAGAGCCTTGAGTCAGACACCTCTTTATTTAAACCAGGGAAAGAGCCTTGAGGTCAGATACCTCTTATTTAACCAGGGAAAGAGCCTTGAGGTCAGATACCTCTTTATTTAACCAGGGAAAGAGCCTTGAGGTCAGACACCTCTTTATTTAACCAGGGAAAGAGCCTTGAGGTCAGATACCTCTTTATTTAACCAGGGAAAGAGCCTTGAGGTCAGACACCTCTTTTCTGAACGCAACAAATTATGTTTAAATGAGGAAGAAGAAGAAAGAGAAGTTATTACAAAACCAGTGAAACTCTGTGTGAATATGTGCCTGTTGTAACAATGGCTTTTGCAGGCAAGCAATTCATGCATACTGAGGCAGCACAAATGTAAGCTCAGCTGATGTGCTTTAAGATAATGCTCTGACCTTTTGAATATCTAAACTAAGTTATTCAAAAGTTGCGATGTACACTAGTGGCAAGCTTTGCAGTTTGCAGTAGCTTCCCATTAAATCCAGCTCCAACAGGGAAGACAAGAGGACTCTATCTGTAGTGTCCCAATCATTCCCCCTGCTGGTTGAACCTAGCTACTGCAGATCCTGCTGGTTGAACCTAGCTACTGCAGATCCTGCTGGTTGAACCTAGCTACTGCAGATCCTGCTGGTTGAACCTAGCAACCGCAGATCCTGCTGGTTGAACCTAGCTACTGCAGATCCTGCTGGTTGAACCTAGCTACTGCAGATCCTGCTGGTTGAACCTAGCTACTGCAGATCCTGCTGGTTGAACCTAGCTACTGCAGATCCTCTCCTCACGGTCTCTTAACGCTCTGCTTGCTCTGCTCCTAACCCGTCTCTCTGCTAGAACTGGCATCCCAGCTCCCCGTGCCCCAGCTCCCTGTGTCCCACCGGCCCAGTCCCGACATCCTGGACGTGCCCGAGGACGAGGTTAACCCCAACCTCCCCACCGACCTCGACTTTAACCCCAGCAACCCTAGTTTCAACACCAACCCCAATGGAAACCCCAACTACCCTGCCAACACCAACCCTAACCCCAACTACCCTGCCAACCCCAACCCCAACTATAACGGCAACCCCAACGGGAACACCAACTTCAACCCTGCCAACCCTAATGGGAAACCCAACTTTAATGTGAACGCCAACCCCAACCCTAACCCCAACCTCCCCCTCAACCCCAACGGCAACCCCAACAGCAACCCCAACCAGTTCAACCCCAACAGCAACCCCAACCAGTTCAACCCCAACGGCAACCCCAACAGCAACCCCAACCAGTTCAACCCCAACAGCAACCCCAACCAGTTCAACCCCAACGGCAACCCCAACCAGTTCAACCCCAACAGCAACCCCAACGGCAACCCCAACCAGTTCAACCCCAACCAGTTCAACCCCAACACCAACCCCAACCAGTTCAACCCCAACGGCAACCCCAACAGCAACCCCAACCAGTTCAACCCCAACGGAAACCCCAACAGCAACCCCAACCAGTTCAACCCCAACAGCAACCCCAACCAGTTCAACCCCAACCACCCCCTCAACCCCAATAGGAACCACAACTTAAACCCCAATGGCAACCCCAACCAGTTCAACCCCAACACCAACCCTAAACCCAACTTTCCCCTCAACCCCAACACCAACCCCAACACCAACCCTAACGGGAACCCCAACTTCTATGGTAGCGGCAACCTTAACCCCATTTCTAACCCCAACACTAACCCCAACCCCAACCTACCCCTCAACCCCAGCGGGAACCCCAACCCCAACTATAACGGCAATGTGAACCCCAACTACCCCCTCAACCCCAACGGGAATCCCAACACCAACCCTAACCCCAACTTCAACACCAACCCTAACCCCAACTACCCCCTCAACCCCAACGGGAATCCCAACACCAACCCTAACCCCAACTACCCCCTCAACCCCAACGGGAATCCCAACACCAACCCTAACCCCAACTTCAATACCAACCCCAGCACCAACTACCCCCTCAACCCCAACGGGAATCCCAACACCAACCCTAACCCCAACTACCCCCTCAACCCCAACGGGAACCCCAACTTGAACCCCAACTTCAACGACAACCATTTCCAGCTGGTGGGGACTAACGGCCAGGACACGCTGGGCCAGCAGGGCCAGCACATCTACACAGAGTACCAGAGCTTGGGCCCCAACCCCAACGGCAGGGACAACCAGGGCCAGGGCCCAGCTATCCACCACCGTGAGCCCCTGGTCTACGTCCCCGTCCCGGGCCCCGATGGCCAGAGAGTGCCCCTGGTCCGGGTGAACGAGGGTCCGTTATCGGGTCTTCCGTTTGGGTTCCCTGAGAATGATACCGGGTTTGGGGTACCGCAGGAGGCCCAGACACACACCACCATCTCATGGCAGGGCCTGCCCCAGAGCTCAGAGTACCTGGTGTCCTGTAACCCCATCACCAACCTCGACGAGAAGATGTTCCAGGTGATTATACTACACACAAATGCCATGAAGAAAAATACTTTTCATTTAGATGAACTGTAGCAAAGGTGTACTAGCGTACCTATACTTCTCTTTACAGCAAAAAAAAAAAAAAAAGTCCTGTTCTCAGTACATGGTGTCAGAAGTGAATGATTCTGATGTGACATCACAGGTGTTTCTATCTGCTGTTCCCCATAATGAACCCTGACCTCATCTCTCTACCAGATGCGATTACCGGGCACCTCTACCAGTGCCACTCTGATCGGGCTGACACCTGGGGCCTCCTATGGCGTCGTCGTGGAGGCCATGAGAGGGCAGGGCAGGGAGAAGGTCCTGGAGGAGATAGTCACCGTTGGCAACGCTGGTACTACACTTTGTCAGTACCCTGTGGTGGTGTGCCGTGGTCATGGAATAACAATGAATAGCATTAGACCTTTCAATTAATACTTTTTCATGAGTTTATGTATTGTTGTCCAACGCCCTTCTAATGTATTGTTTTGAAGCTGGTAATCAGTTCTTTGGTTTCGTTGGACCAGTTGTTTAGTATTTGGAAATCACATCTGTTGATAAATAGTTATGTTTGTCCGTCTGTTGGTAAATAGTTATGTTTGTCAGTCTGTTGATAAATAGTTATGTTTGTCCGTCTGTTGATAAATAGTTATGTTTGTCCGTCTGTTGATAAATAGTTATGTATGTCCGTCTGTTGATAAATAGTTATGTATGTCCGTCTGTTGATAAATAGTTATGTATGTCCGTCTGTTGATAAATAGTTATGTTTGTCCGTCTGTTGATAAATAGTTATGTTTGTCCGTCTGTTGATAAATAGTTATGTTTGTCCGTCTGTTGATAAATAGTTATGTTTGTCCGTCTGTTGATAAATAGTTATGTTTGTCCGTCTGTTGATAAATAGTTATGTTTGTCCGTCTGTTGATAAATAGTTATGTTTGTCCGTCTGTTGATAAATAGTTATGTTTGTCCGTCTGGTTGTTGTTTTGCTTTGTAATTGTTTGTTAACATGTTTTGTCCCTTCTCTCTCCCCCTAGTTCCAGGAGACAACCTCCCCTCCAGCAGAGATGTGTGTTATGACACGTTCACAGCCACCTACCATGATGTGGGTGCAGAGTGGGAGCGTATGTCAGAGACAGGCTTTAAGCTGTGGTGCAGGTGTCTGGGGCTGGGCAGTGGCCATTTCAGATGTGATTCATCCAGTGAGTGACTCTAACCCATCCCATAATGCTTCTAATATAAACCCCCTTATATTTTACCTTAGCATGGGCAGACCTGACGCAGACGACCAAGAGGGAAAAAAAAGACTAAATTATATGGTTATGGTATTTATTTTCTCTTATTAATAGCATTTGTTAATATGACTAAATCATTCAAAGCAGAAATTCAATTAAAGCCATTCTTAAATCATTGGTCATGTACATTTTATTCCTGCTCTGGGATACATAGATGTGCTAGAAGGTTAAGGTCTGCCCATGCTAGTCCCTGCAGCATGTTGGCGTCTACTGTAGTAAAACATGCCACTGACAGGGCTAGAGCTCGTTGTGTCTGGGGTTTGTATTGTCAGTCCATAACCAGACGATACCAAACCCTGAGATATCATGCCATCATCATGTCTGAATGCTAAAGGTCATGGGTCAAATGACTGATGTGTTTGTGTGTGTGTGTATGAGGGATGAATTGTCCAATTTGGGTCTCAGTGAAGCTCAGAATGTTGGGTCCAATCAGACTCCTTTCTCCACCAGAGTGGGAGGAGTCGAGGAGACATGGCCATCTATCCCCCAAAACCTTCATTTGGATTTGTTGAACTAGTATCATCTCCCCCTCCCTCCCCGTCCTCTCTCCTACCTCCCCACCTATCCCCTTCCTCACCCCTCCACCCACCTACTCCCCTCTTCACCCTCTCCCTCCTACAGAGTGGTGTCATGACAGCGGGAACAACTACCATATAGGAGAGAAGTGGGACCGCCACGCTGAGAACGGTCACATGATGAGCTGTACTTGCTTGGGCAATGGGAAGGGAGAGTTCAAGTGCGAGCCACGTAAGTACTGCAGGCTACTAGCTTAGACATCAATGAATGGTTGCCAAGTTGTTCAATTCACACCAGCGTGTACAAGTCCACAGATCCTTTTAATACTACTGAGCCGAGCTGTACTGTTCTGGCCTGGTAATGCATCCACCATAGTTGCTGGACAGAACAAGGTGAAAAGAAAATATCCAATCCACAGTAAAGTTTGGGTCGCTACGACACTGTGACAAGGGCAAGAGAATTACCAGAGACCTACTGCACTGCACGTTGTTATGGTGAATGATCTATCTGTCTGTGTTTCTACAGATGAGTCGACGTGTTATGACGATGGGAATATGTACCAGGTGGGCAACCAGTGGCAGAAGGAATACCTGGGAGCTATCTGCACCTGCACCTGCTACGGAGGACAGCAGGTATCACCACCAATTCCATACTGTGGAGCACAGGATGTTGTGTAGTATACGGGATGTTGTGTAGTACACGGGATGTTGTGTAGTACACAGGATGTTGTGTAGTACACGGGATGTTGTGTAGTACACGGGATGTTGTGTAGTACACAGGATGTTGTGTAGTACACAGGATGTTGTGTAGTACACAGGATGTTGTGTAGTACACAGGATGTTGTGTAGTACACAGGATGTTGTGGTGTAGTACACAGGAAGTAAAAGAAAAGCACAGATGAGGGGAGTCTAGACTAGGCAGGAGTTGTGAACGTGTGGTAAACTGGATGCAGTATGCTCCATGTGGTGGATTATCAAAGTAAATTGAATTCTACAGGCTCCGACACTCGTTGTGGCAGGGCTTGCAAACTATTACGGACTACAAAGGGAAGCACAGCCGCGAGCTGCCCAGTGACACAAGCCCACCAGACGAGCTAAATTACTTCTATGTGTGCTTCGAGGCAAGCAACACTGAAGCATGCATGAGAGCACCAGCTGTTCCGGATGACTATGTGATCACGCTCTCCGTAGCCGATGTGAGTAAGACTTTTAAGCAGGTTCAACATTCACAAGGCCGCAGGGCCAGACGGATTACCAGGACGTGTACTCCGAGCATGCGCTGACCAACTGGCAAGTGTCATCACTGACATTTTCAACCTCTCCCTGACCGAGTCTGTAATACCTACATGTTTCAAGCAGACCACCATAGTCCCTGTGCCTAAGAACACCAAGGTAACCTGCCTAAATGACTATCGACCCGTAGCACTCAAGTCGGTAGCCATGAAGTGCATTGAAAGGCTGGTCATGGCTCACATCAACACCATTATCCCAGAAACCCTAGACCCACTCCAATTTGCATACTGCCCCAACAGATACACAGATGACGCAATCTCTATTGCACTCCACACTGCCCTTTCCCACCTGGACAAGAGGAACACCTATGTGAGAATGCTATTGACTACAGCTCAGCGTTCAACACCATAGTGCCCTCAAAGCTCATTACTAAGCTAAGGACCCTGGGACTAAACACCTCCCTCTGCAACTGGATCCTGGACTTCCTGATGGGCCACCCCCAGGTGGTAAGGGTAGGTAACAACACATCTGCCACGCTGATCCTCAACACGGGGGCCCCTCAGGGGTGCATGCTCAGTCCCCTCCTGTACTCCCTGTTCACCCATGACTGCATGGCCAGGCACGACTCTAACACCATCATTAAGTTTGCCGACGACACAACAGTGGTAGGCCTGATCACTGACAACGATGAGACAGCCTATAGGGAGGAGGTCAGAGACCTGGCAGTGTGGTGCCAGGATAACAACCTCTCCCTCAACGTGACCAAGACAAAGGAGATGATTGTGGACTACAGGGAAAAAAAGAGGACTGAGCACGCCCCCATTCTCATCGACGGGGCTGTAGTGGAGCAGGTTGAGAGCTTCAAGTTCCTTGGTGTCCACATCACCAACAAACTAACATGGTCCAAACACACCAAGACAGTCGTGAAGAGGGCACGATAAAGCCTATTCCCCCTCAGGAGACTGAAAAGATTTGGCATGGGCCTCAGATCCTCAAAAAGTTATACAGCTGCACCATCGAGAGCATCCTGACTGGTTGCATCACCGCCTGGTAAGGCAACTGCTCGGCATCTGACCGCAAGGCGCTACAGAGGGTAGTCACTGGGGCCAAGCTTCCTGCCATCCAGGACCTCTATACCAGGCGGTGTCAGAGGAAGGCCCTAAAAATTGTCAAAGACTCCAGCCACCCTAGTCATAGACTGTTCTCTCTGCTACCGCACGGCAAGTGGTACCGGAGTGCCAAGTCTAGGTCCAAAAGGCTTCTTAACAGCTTCTACCCCCAAGCTATAAGACTCCTGAACAGCTAATCAAATGGCTACCCGGACTATTTGCATTGTTGCTCTTTAATTATTTGTAATTTTTCTATTTTATTTATTTTTTACTTCAGTTTATTTTAGTCAATACTTTCTTAACCAACAATGCAGTTAAGAAAAATAAGTGTTAAGGGCTTGTAAGTAAGCATTTCACTGTAAGGTCTACAGCTGTTGTATTCGGCGCATGTGACAAATAAAATGAGATTTGGACTTCAGTGAATGTAAGGACACAACAGATGTATGAGAGTGTCAGTGCATTTGTTCTATGTGGTGAACGGCGTGTCATCTCCCCAGGGCTGGCGCTGTGAGAACTGCAGAAGACCAGGAGCTCAGACTGAGGTGGATGTGGATCTGCTAGATTCTCAAATACACCAAGACGCATTTGACCGCTACAGGGAGAACGCCCTGAAAAAACTGGTGGGTGTTCCGGCCTCTCAGTCATAGAGATACAATATTATACAGTTTCCCTGACCAAGATGGCCGTCCGGCAGTTATGTTAAAGGTTTGCCACTGACCATTCTAGTGTTTTTATTTAATTCTGTGCTCCTAGGATTCTAAAGACTGGCCCATAATAACGTTGACACAAATGTCTTTGTGACGTCCCATATGTCAATAGAGATTGTATATCAGGTGTACATGCATTTCCTTACTGACTATCATGCAAACATGTACTTTAAATGAACTGAACGTTTCCTTTCTGTCTTCCAACAGAACATCCAGTGTCCTATAGAGTGTCTGAGACCAGAGCTCCTAGCGGACTCCCAGCAGCCCTCAGAGTAAAGAAGGGATGGTGAAGGAGAACCCTCTCCTCCTGAGACTCTACTCACATACAGTGCCTTCAGAAAGTATTCATACCCCTTGACTTATTCCACATTTTGTTGTGTTACAGCCTGAATTCAAAATGGATTAAATATATTTGAATGACAAAGTGAAAACATGTTTTTACAAATATATTTACATTTTACATTTTAGTCATTTAGCAGATGCTCTTATCCAGAGCGACTTACAGTTAGTGCATACATTATTTTATATTTTTCATACTGGCCCCCCGTGGGAATCGAACCCACAACCCTGGCGTTGCAAACACCATGCTCTACTGAGCTACATCCCTGCCGGCCATTCCCTCTCCTACCCTGGATGACGCTGGGCCAATTGTGCGCCGCCCCATGGGTCTCCCAGTCGCGGCCGGCTACGACAGAGCCTGGATTCGAACCAGGATCTCTAGTGGCACAGCTAGCACTGCGATGCAGTGCCTTAGACCACTGCGCCAAAATGATATACATAAATATTTAATTTACTTATGTATTCACATTCCTGAGTCAATACTTTGTAGAAGCACCTTTTGGGTTAAGTCTCTAAGAGCTTTGCACACCTGGATTGTACAATATTTGCATATTATTCTTTTTTAAACTCTTCAAGCTCTGTCAAGTTGGTTGTTGATCATTGCTAGACACTCATTTTCAAGTCTTGCCATAGATTTTCAAGCCAATTTAAGTCAAAACTGTAACTAGGCCACTCAGGAACATTCAATGTCATCTTGGTAAGCAACTCCAGTGTAGATTTGGCCTTGTGTTTTAGGTTATTGTCCTGCTGAAAGGTGAATTTGTCTCCCAGTGTCTGTAGAAAGCAGACTGAACCAGGTTTTCCTCTAGGATTCTGCCTGTGCTTATAGCTGTATTCTGTTTCTTTTCATCCTAAAAAACTCCCTAGTCCTTGTCGATGACAAGCATACCCATAACATGATGCAGCCACCACCATGCCTGAACATTTGAAGAGTGGTACTCAGTGATGTGTTGTGTTGTGTGTTTGGGACAAATCCAACTTTGTATTCAGGACAAAAAGTTAATTTCTTTGCCACATTTTTTGTAGTATTACTTAAGTGCCTTGTTGCAAACAGGATGCATATTTTGGAATATTTGTATTTTGGAATACATCTGTTCACTCTTTTATTTAGTTTAGTATTGTGGAGTAACTACAATGTTGTTGTTCTCATATCACAGCCATTAAACTCTGTAACTGTTTTAAAATCACCATTGGCCTCATGGTGAAATCCCTGAGCGGTTTCCTTCCTCTCTGGCAACTGAGTTAGGAAGGACGCCTATATCTTTGTAGTTACTGGGTGTATTGATACACCATCCAATGTGTAATTAATAACTTAACCATGCTCAAAGGGATATTCAATGTCTGCTTTTTTTATTTGTATCCATCTACCAATAGGTGCCCTTCTTTGCGAGGCATTTGAAAACCTCCCTGGTCTTTGTGGTTGAATCTGTGATTGAAATTCACTACTCGATTGAGGGACCATACAGACAATTTTATGTGTGGGGTAAAGAGATGGGGTAGTCATTAAAAAAATCATGTTAACCACTTATTGAACACAGAATGAGTCCATGCAACTTATTATGTGATTTGTTAAGCACATTTCTACTCCTGAACTTTAGGCTTGCCATAACAAAGGGGTTGAATACTTATTGACTCAATACATTTAAAAGCTTTTAACATTTTTTCTTAATTTACAAAATGTTCTACAAACAATATTCCACTTTGATATTATTGGGTATTGCGTGTCACTGATTTACATTTACATTTTAGTCATTTAGCAGACGCTCTTATCCAGAGCGACTTACAGTTAGTGATTACATTTTTAAAATTATTATTTTTTTTTTATACTGGAATCGAACCCACAACCCTGGCGTTGCAAACGCCATGCTCTATCAACTGAGCTACATCCCTGCCGGCCATTCCCTCCCCTACCCTGGACGACGCTGGGCCAATTGTGCGCCGCCCATGAGTCTCCCGGTCGCGGCCGGCTGCGACAGAGCCTGGATTCGAACCAGGATCTCTAGTGGCACAGTTAGCACTGCGATGCAGTGCCTTAGACCACTCACACCATCTCAATGTAATCCATTTTAAATTCAGGCTGTAACACAACAAAAAATGTGGGAAAAAAGTCAAGGGGTGTGAATACTTTCTGAAGGCTCTGTATCTGTGCCTTACACAGAGTTATAAAATCTAGAGAGTGCACTTGGTCAGTCTCACGAAAGACTGATAGCACGCGCCATCTTTTTAAGTAGTCAACTTTGGTGGGACTTCCTGTGTGTTGCCCATAGAAATATAATTCCTTTTGAATTCTTAAGACTTGTATTTTTATGGTGATGTCTTCCCATGCTGTCACAGAAGTACTCAATGGAAAATATACTGTAGGAAGTGTTATAACTCTGTGGTGCCTTCCTGTTCCCGTCCTTCACTAACCTAATCAGTGGTCTGGTCTGACCAATAACCACCGCCCTGCTGCTTCTCCACATCGCCACGCCTTTCTATAGCGTCACTTCAAAATACCCCCCAAGGCAAAGAAAGGGTCTTTATATTTTAGTGGTTGGTTCCTTCCTTCGAGACGTTCCAACGACAAGAGAAAATAGAACATCTGCACAGAGGTCCTAAAGCCGACCAGTATTGCTCTTCCAATTCCTCCTGTAGCCTACTCTGTTTGTACTCTGTGCTGCCTGCACCGGAGCTTTCTCTCTCTGATGTGAGATTTTACCCCAGAGAGACATTCACAGAAGTTTAACAATGGAAAACTGACTGCATCATCAGTTGTCTGGAATGGAGAATATTTTCAACCTATCCCATCCTAGCTCAAAATGGTTCTACAGAGAACTAAGATCAGTGTCTTAAGTAGAACCCTATTCCCTATATAGTGCACCACTTTTGGGTGCTTCTTTTTTTTTTTTTTACAGAGGTCTCACCTGAAATCCTTGTCTCTCTTGGAGACTTCAACTACCAGTCTAAAAAAACATTCCCTTTTAAAACAAAGCACTGTCTTTAATGCAGTGGTATTCCAAAGTCATGGTCTGCATGGGGTCGCCAAAATGTTATATATATATATATATATACACACACATTTTAGTTTTTAGGAACCAAAAATGAAGAGTACAGATTATTGTATGGGACAATTTACAAACGTTTTTGAGAAATCATTTGAAAAATAAAATTGTATTAAGTAAATGTATTTATTGGTTTCTTTTCATTTTGAGAAGAGATGTTTATGTAAAAATCGAAATTTACAGATTAAGGTTGTCATTAGTTTTGGGGTGGGGTCGCGAGAAATGTGGTCCCCAGAAATTCTGTTGGGGGGGGGGGGGGGGGGGAGTTTCAATACCACTGCTTTAATGCAAGAGTTGTATCACAGAGGTACACTGCAAGCGGGTGTTCATTCAACGTCCAGAAATGTATCTTGTTGTTTTCATGTACTTCTGCCATTTTGTGGACGGAAGCTCTAAGATGGCTGTCAGTTGAGTTGCATTCCTTCATACCATTCTCAACTGCTATGTTTTGTCATTTTAACACAAAGACTATCTTTTTATTTATCCTTTTTTTCCCAAGCATTTTGTTTTAATGCCATTTGGGGTGTACACGTTTTGTTCATTTTTTTTTATATTGGAGGTGCCAAAGTCTTAACTACTGTGGACTGAATTCCTTTTTAATAAACAAACAAAAAAATGTTTTTGGAATGGTCTGTTGTCAACGTTTGAGTTTATTATAACGGCTAGAAATAGTGAAGTGAAACTGTTCAGCTTTTCGCAGAGACACTATCGGGTAAATGAGGGTGTGCTAAAGACATTGTAGATCAGGCATCGACACGTGAATCGCTATTTAATAATAATAAGCCATTTAGCAGACGCTTTTATCCAAAGCGACTTACAGTCATGCGTGCATACATTTTTGTGTATGGGTGGTCCCGGGGATCGAACCCACTACCCTGGCATTACAAGCGCCATGCTCTACCAATTGAGCTACAGAGGATCACATTTAGAACGGTCAAATCAACTTTCGTTGGAACATTTCAGTTTTCCAAAAAACAAAGTTCATGTCTTCATGTCCAGTATTTATTGGGTATGAAATAATGAGATGATGCATTGTGTGGAGTAAAACACTGTGGTTAGGTCCATGCAGTCCAGTAGTGCGAGAGGTGGAATGCCTGATCCCCTGG